TAGTTCTTAATTCTTTGAAGCTGGAAGACCTATATTGTAATACGACTCTATTCACTTTTACCTCTACCAAAGAATTTTAATTTTCAGCAATATTTCTACGGTTCATGACATTTTAAAATCCAGGTAGGAAGTTCAGGTTCCAATTTGGGGAGTGGGTTTGTTTTGAGGATGTCTTTTTTGTTGTTATTTTGCATGTTTTACTTCAGTTGTAAAGTTTGTCTCATTTTTTTGTTTGTTTGTTTTGAGAGGTAAGGCATGGATGCCAAAAATGTTCTAATTTTTCCTTTTATAATGAGCATTTGGTGCTGTGAGAGAATTACACAAAAATGTCACTGCATTTGGTTACTTAATGTTTTACTAAACTTTTTGATGAAATATTAATAGAGTGTTATTCTACATTAGTTTTACCTCTACAACTAGGGATAAAAAATATGTTATGATAAATTTTGTGCACTATAGGACTTGGGAAGTGATTCTTAAAATGAGATTTTAGGATATCTTGCATTCATCAGTGGCAGTGATTTTCAACCAGTGAGCCATGAAAGGGTCATAGGTGTGCTCTGAAAAATTTTAAACATCATTAATTAAATTATTTTCAGAAGAAGTTCAAAGCACAGTAAGTGTATTCTTTTTTTTTTTTTTACTCTTTTTTTGATCAACATAATTTAAGTGTGCCATGGAAGTTTAACTATAGGTTCAAGTGTGCTGTGAGATAAAAATGGTTGAAAACCATGGTTCTATGGGGTTGTTCAATATTCAGATTTTCAGGCCCCACTCTGAAAAAACTGAATTAAAATCTCTGGGTGTGGGACTTGAGAATTCACAATAGATAGAATCAATAGATTCTCTCTGTGATCCAAATGCAAACTAAAGTTTAAGGATCATTAATTGAGCTAAATTTGGAGGCTGGAGGAATAAACAATATATATTGAGATTGGAGCCAGGATACCATATTTAAAATATAATGGTAACATCTAGGAAAGAGGCACTATCTCTACCAAGGTAAATAAATGTAGCTACTGGCTTAATAGGAGCTGACATTTGTGTGTGGTTTTAAAAATGATGTGCTCGCCAAGTGAGATGGAGGGTGTGGCTGGGGGCATGCCAGTGACTACTGTTTCCAAGGCTAATTCTACTAAGAAAAATATACAGTAGACATTCACTAAATGCTTTACCCAGCAGGTCCTATCTGAAGACTTCCTTTATCAACCTCTATTCTGTATTCTTTAGTGATTTTGGTGTCTTCATTTTCCTTGATGACAAAGATGATTACATATTAGGTTTTGAGTGATTTTTTTTTTTTTTTGAGACAGAGTCTCACTTTATTGCCCTTGGTAGAGTGCTGTGGTGTCACAGGTCACAGCAATCTCCAACTCCCGGGCTTAGGCAATTCTCTTGCCTCAGCCTCCTGAATAGCTGGGACTGTAGGCACCCACCACAACGCCCAACTATTTTTTTGTTGCAGTTTGGCTGGGGTTGGGTTTGAACCTGCCATCCTTAGTATATGAGTCTGGTGCCCTACTCACTGAGCCACAGGCACCACCCAGGTTTTGAGTGATTTTAACTAAGAGGTACTTCATTGTAATAAATATGCCAATACATGAACATGTATGTAAAAAATGTGTGTGTACACATATAAATAAACATATATACACAATCACAGATGCACATACATGCATAAACAGGAGATAGTGTGGGTGAGGTTCCAGATGAATGCAATAAGCAAATATTGCAATCAAGTGAGTCACACCCATTTTCTTGTTTCCCAATGTATATACAAATTGTTTATACTAAACTGTAGCTTATTAACTATGAACCAGCAGCATATTAAAAAAAAACTCCTATACTTTGATTAAAAAAATATTTTATTGCTGCTGGATGCAGCAGCACATGCCTTTAGACTCAGCTACATTGGGGACTGAGCGAGAAGGACCCCTTTTAGCCCAGTAGTTCTAAGCCAGATTGGTCAACAAAGTGAGACCCCATCTCAAAAAGAAATTGCTAAAAATCGCTCATGATCATCTGAACCTTTAGGGAGCTGTAATCTTTTTGCTGGTGGAGAGTCTTGCCTTGATGTGGATGGCTTTTGACTGACCAGGGTGGTAATTGTTGAAGGTTGGTTGTCTGTGGCAATTTCTTAAAAGAAGACAACAATGAAGTCCGCCAGATGCCAGATTCATTGGGTCTTCTTTTTATGAAAGATTACACATGTGTTTAGCATGCATGATAGCATTTAACCCATGTAGAATTTCTTTGAAAACTGGAGTCAATCCTCTCAAAACCTGCCACTGCTTTATCAGTAAAGTTTATGTAATAGTCTAAATCTTTGTTGTCATTTCAACAAAGTTCACTTGGAGTAGATTTCACTAGGAGTGATTTCACTAGGAGTAGATTTCCTCTCATGAAACCACTTTCTTTGCTCATCTATAAGAAGCAATTCCTCATCTATTCAAGTTTTATCATTGGAACAAGCAGTTCAGTTACATCCTGAGGCATTACTTTGTATTCTTTTTTTAAAAAATGCAGTAATTACTCTATAGTTCCTTATAATTATAGTTTTCTTGCAATTTCTACCATATCTGATGACTTCCTTCACTGAAGTCTTAGACCCCCTTAAAGCCATCCATGAAGGCTGGAATCAACTTCTTCCAAATTCCTGCTAATGATATTTTTGCCTCTTGACATGAAATGGTGAATGCCCTTAATGGGATCTAGAATGGTGAATTCTTTCCGGTAGGTTTTCGATTGACATTGCCCAGATCCATCAGAAACTCATTACCTATGGTAAATATACCTTATGAAATGTATTTCTTAACTAATTAGAATTGAAAGTCTATTACTCCTTGATCCATGGGCTATAGAATGGATGTTGTTTTAGCAGGCAGGACAACATTAATATCCCTGTATATCTTCATAGAGCTCTTTGATGACCAGGTGCATTGTCAATGAGCAGTAATATTTTGAAAGGAATCTTTTTTTTTTTTTTTCTGAGAAGTAGGTCTCAACAGCTAGCTTTAAATATTCAGTAAACCATCTTGTAAAGAGATGGCTGTCATTTAGGTTCTATTGTTCCATTTACAGACCAAAGGCAGAGTACATTTAGCAAATTCTTAAGGGCCCTATATGATACTTGGAATGGCAAATGAGCATTGGCTTCCACTTAACCTCTAAAAGGAGAGTCAATCTATCCTTGAAGCTTTGAAGCCAGGCATTGGCTTCTCCTATGAGTCTTAGATGATGTCTTCTACCAATAGAAGGTTGTTTCATTTATTTTGAAAATCAGTTGTTTCATGTGCCACCATCATCAGTGATCTTCTGAAACTTGCTGCAGCTTCTCCATCAGCCCTTGCTGCTTCACTTTGTACTTTTTATGTTATGGAAATGGCATCTCTCCTTAAACCTCATGAACTAACCTCTGTTAGCCTTCAATTTTTCTTCTTCAGCTTCCTCATCTCCCTCAGCCTTCATAGAATTGAAGAGTTAGGGCTTTGCTCTGGATTGTGTTTTGGCTGGTTTGACAGACCACTAAAACTTTCTTCATATATGCAATCAGTCTGTTTTGCTTTATCATTTATGTGTTCACTGGAGTAATACATTTCACTTTTTCTTTGCATTCATGACTTGGCTAATTGGTCCAACAAGGCTGGCTTTTGGCCCATCTTGGCTTTCAATATGCCTTCCTCACTATACTTACTCATTTATAGGTTTTGACTGAACATGAGACAGTTTTTTTTTTTTTTTACTTGAACACTTGGAGGCCATTGTAGGTTAATTGGTCTAATTTCAATATTATTATGTTTCAGGGCATAGGGAAGTCTAAGGAGGTGGAGAGATGGGGAAAGCATTCTTTGGCGGAGCAGTCAGAACACACACAGTTTACTGGTTAAATGCACTATCTCTTTGGTTGCGGTTTGTGGTGCCCCCCAAACAATTACAATAGAAACTTCAAAGGACACTTTGAAGTTGGAGGACAGATCACCATAACAGATATCATAAAATAAAAATTTAATATATTTCAATTACCAAAATTCCGTTCAAAGGCTTGCTTGCTGCTGAATTGCCACAAACATTCATTTGTAAAAACAAACAAACAAAACAAAAAAAGGAATTTCCTGTCTCTGGAAAGCAAAATAAAGAGTTTCCCCTGCCTACATATTTTAAACACACACACACACACACATTAAAAGGCTTTAGAGGAGTGAGAGGTGTCTTTTTGAAAGATCAGTAAAAAGATTTACAGTATTTGATGTGTAAAAAGATTACAGTTAAGTCGTCAAGTTGGAGGGAACAGATCTTATAATTTGATTTTACTCATTTTTACTTATAATTTTATTTTACTACTATTTTATTTTACTAATTTTCTTTTTGGTGCATGCAGATAGATGGCGTGTGGTACCTATGTTTGTTTGTTTGTTTATTTTTTTTTTCCGCCAAGGATAGTGCCTATAATGCCCCACTCTTCTTTCCTAGTGGGGAAAACCAGTCACCTCAAGAATGTAAATCAGGTAGAGAAATAATGCAAGAGCCAATCAGAACGCTCTCTGGAGAGAGGCTGCGGACTGCTGGCTTCTCAGGGAAGACTGGCGGAAGACGCGACTTTGTTACCTCCATTCAACTGGACAAAGAAGGCCATAATAATTTAGGACGATGGGAAACACTTTGTGGATTATCTGGCGATGTCTTACACCTCTGGGGACAGATCACAGCCAGAAGGCATCTCAGTCGGAAAACTTCTGGGCACTACAAGTGCGTTATCTTCCGGGACCTTAGAAGAACGGTTAGCAATTGTGGTGGTACCCGTAACCAAAATGGCGACGAGGCGCGTCAGATGCGGGATCACGTGACACAGCCCGGTTGGCCCTTTTCCCACCAGCAGCTCCTGCTCTGGCTTTCCTGCGTAGCCGTGGGGGTGCCTTGCCTGGGCGGTCTTTCTTCAGAGGCCGGGAAAACCCCAGCTTACACATGCGCAGTTGGACTCCTCCGGTCCTTCGGGCCTCGTCCCCGCCCACCGCCCCGCCCCTACCGTCCGGGCGGGGCTGGGCCGAAAGTCCAGCTGCTGCTGGCCGGAGAGTCAGTGACTTCCTTATTGTGTGCCGGGACCGGGCAGTGTCCCAACTCGTTCTTATTCGGACTGCTGGCCCAAGTGTAGGTCGGAGCCGCAACCCCGCCCCGTCAGAAACCTTTTCAGCACAGGTCCTTTCCCCGCACTCCTGGTGCTCCCTAACATGCCCAACCCCAGCATCACCTCTGCTCCCTACCCTCTCCCTGAGGAAATTAGGAACCTGTTGGCAGGTAATGGGCGGGTAGGGGGCGGGTAACGGTACTGGGGCGGGGGCGAGGGAACGGCGAGTCGGTGGGGACACTCGTTCAGAGTCCTTACCCTCCTTCCCCGCGCTTCCCACGTCTTCTGGCCCGTGGGGACGGGACAGGGAGGTGGGAAGAAGGGTGTTTCATATAGAAAAGGGGGTGGGCGTGTGTGTCGAAATTTGGTGCGGGGCTGGTGGCGAAGTCCTTGATGATCTGCACAAACCCGATCGGGACAGTTCTGTGCATTGGGAAGACTGTGTGTGTGTGTGTGTGTGTGTGTGTGTGAGAGAGAGAGAGAGAGAGAGAGAGAGAGACACACCCCGACCGAGGGAGGGAGGGATGATACTGGGAGGAGGCAGAGTAGGAAAGGCAGAGAGAAAGATAATGATAATGAATGCAGCGTGAGAACTGGGCAGGGAGCTGAAGTCAAAGAAAGTAGTTCTTGGGTGGCCTGGCCAATGGAGGTGGAGAGCTCAGAGATGCAAAGAGCTGTTAATGCCACAGGTGTTGGGGGTTATGCGGTGGGTTTGTCATTTCTAAAACTCCCATTTTTCTTGAACAGTCAGTCAACTCATAGTCAAGACTTTTGAAGAGGCTTGATTCTCAAATGGCCACTTGTCTTCAGACTTGACAGTATATTAAGCATAAAAAGGAAGGATGTGTTAAAATCCTACTTCCTGTGTCACAGGAGGAAAGTACTTCGTCTATGCACCCTCATCTTCCCCTTCTCGGTTTTACATTACCATTTATAGGAACTTACTTTAGGAGTTAAAAAAATGTTACTCTTCAGTGCTATTATGAATCAGTTGCACATATGGGTGTGTGCATTTCCAGTAAGGAAATAAAAATGTATATTTTCGTACCAGGTAGAAAATGTGTTTTTTTTGTTTGTTTGTTGTTTTTTTAAGGCAGCACAAACCTTGCCTATCCTGATGCTCTGGAATTTTTACCAGCATTTACTTTGTCTTGTGTATGTCAGAATTTTGGAAACTGAATGATGATTGTTTTACTTTAGTTGTCTCTAAAATATAAACCATTTTAAAAATATTGACCATAAAAAACTAGATTAAATAGTTTCTCTTAGACGCCTCTATTATAAATTGCCTCCTTTCATTTATAAAAAGCAATTTTACCTAAAATGTGACATTTGAGGTAGTAAGTTACTGCTGTAGCTGAGTGAGACCAAATGTCCTAATAAGCTCTTATACTATTTTGGTGGTTGGCATCATGAGTATGGTAGAGAAAATAAAACTAGGTGTAGGACTGTAGCCTTATACTTGTATAAGCATGACACAGTGTGATCAATGGATTTATGGTGGAATAGTATTCACTACTTGTCATCATTAATGGCTATCACTAAGGGAAGTAGTGAAAAACTCACTTAAGGCAGCTTTTGTTCCATTATTTGAGAGTTTCACATGAGTACTTGTTTTGTTTTACATCACAGTTAACCTTTTTATTGTTACGGTGCTGCAATTGCTTGTTTATAATATTATAATAACCAGATCAGAGAAGTGTTTTATCACTATTCCAAAATAGGTGCCACCATTTTAAGGATATTCTAGGTCTGTATTTTTGAATTTAAGAAATAAAGTGCAGACTTCTGGGTGCATATTTTTAAAGGTTGGCAGCTCCCATGTCAGACAGTTTGTTATCTGGATCCATAACCACACATTCACATTCACAGGTAGTATGTTATACAGCTTATTTTCTGATCCTTGTAGATCACAAGTATTTCATTGTGCTCTTATTGTGTAACTAAAAGCCTCAGAATTACATATTTAAATTATCTACCAACGCCAACTTCCTGTATATTTCTGTCATCTCTCTTTACTCAAATAATATACTAGCATACTATCTGAAGTTAACTTTTTAAAAGTCATTTTATTGACATTTACAACATTTCATGTTACTAAAGCAATTCATATTAAAATACAAAGTCTTAAAAACAAATACTAAAACATTATGATGTTGGGGATTATAAATTTGGATTGCACTTTATTTTCAGAGGATATTTAGAAGACGTGTAGATGTGAGTTGGGGAATATATATGGTTAAAGAAATGAAACAAGCCAACCATTGTTTTTCAGGTTTTTTTTTTACTGATTTAAAAAGTCGTTTATATTTTATGACTATAACTGACTATAATTATAGTTGACTATAATTACTCTTTTCTAAGGTAGAGAAGTTTTCAAGAATAGATATTCTCAAGGGTTTTTCACATATTGGATCCAAAAATATGTATTGTTGGGATTGTAAATGATGATTTTCGTAATTCAGGTGCATTGGGTACATAACTAGATTTAGAATTACTAAATCTATAGAGGAAATGTTTGTATTGTTTTGAATTTTAGTGATACAACTGTCTTATGTAGTACATTTTCTGTGAAACTAAGGAGATAACTGTAGTGGTAGTTGTAGTTAACAGGTGGGTGCCTTAAAGCATATGGTACAATGTAGAGAAGATAAGAAAGTAAACTTTTCAGAAGTTTAAAATCTGTTGCTTTCAGAAGAAAGAATATTAAGTCAGAAGCTACTGGCTATAAAAATAACTTTGCTTAGATATTTCTGTTTGTGTTTCATGTGCCTATTATTCAAATTATTATATGTTGTGTATTATTTGATATTTCAACTATTTGATAGGGATAGGTGCTCAAATTATTATTATTTATTATTTTTCTTTTTCTGTATTTTTACCTCTGAGTATGGCAGTATAGACTACCATTTCAATATTTGTTCCCTCCCCTTTGTTCTTTCCCCCTTTAAAAACATTCTATAGAAATTCAAAAAGAAAAAATAGGTTGTCAGTCTTTAATTCAAGTTAATGATAACCCTGAAAAACTGGCTATATAGTTTGGCTGTTATATATTCTGTGGAATCAGTATATTAAATCTTGAAAAGCTATACTTAACATGTTTAGTGTTGGATTATTCTTTTAGTCACATGTATAGAAAAGGGTTTATAGAAATGTATTGTTAAAAGCAAATTTTGAGCTGCCATATGGACTATAGGCAACCTTTCATTCCCCCACCCCCTTATAGTGGAAGAAAGGGTTAGCCTGGATAATTAAAATCCAAGGATAATCCCCAAACTTGTCCATTTAATCTTCTCTCACATCCAAATGTTTTGACTAGGATGAACAGCAAGAATAATCTTGATTTATGTGAGTTTTTCTCCCCCAGACAGGCAAGAAAGTGAGAGGAACAGTAGCCTCCGTCCCCTTTCATTTGCTTACCCACCCTTTGAATATTGGTTAGTGGTTTGAAACCAGATATTCGCATTCGTTTGTTTTAGGACAGCAAAACAATAGATGTTGTTTTCTTTTTACTAAATGAGAAATTAAACCAAGGTTAAAAGAAAAAACAGTGGTCGTCAGTGCTCCGAAATATTCAAACCAAACCAAACAAATAAGAAATAAAGTACTTATATGGTTTCTGCAGAGCGACCTTGAGATTTTGTTCACATGGCTGTCTTGATTAGAAATACTGCATTTTTCCATTTGGGGAATTTTCAGATTTTTTTACCCCCATCACATATTATAATCCATAATCCCTTCAGGGTTACTAGATAAAGCATGCAATTCATTAGAAATAGAGGCAGGATTTCTTCAATCTTGAGTATAGTACAGTTTGATTTCCACTTTTCCAAGTTCCATTTATAATTTGGTCAACATTTTGGTTTTATTTTTCCCAAGAGAATTATTTATGGTGTATCTAGTGTCCCATAACTTTCTTCTGTGGCATTAGCTAAGTATGTAAAGGGAAGACTGCCACCTACTGAGTCCCCACTAGTCACCTACTACTTTAGCACCTGGATTTTCCTACAGAGCAAGGATAAACCTGCCCCATTTTGGCAGCAATAACTAAGGAGCATAAAGCTGATAAAGAGAACATTTAATCTCAAAACGAAATCAATCTATGACATCACTAAGATTTTTCTCTTCTAGAAGTAGGAATGTGTTTGTAAATCAAAAGATTAGAAGTTGATGGAGATTTTTCTATGGCCATATAATGTGGCTGAATTAAGATGTGTCATTAAGAAAACTATTTGCCTGTTTCTCTTAAGCATATAATATCTGACTTTTCCTTGGGAGGGCATCTCTTGCATGGCTTCCTGTTGAAAGTATTTTCATCTCAGATTACTGAATTAGACTCTTGATACGATGCACTGTTTTTATAGTTCATCCAAATTATCACTGGTTTTCTTTAAAGAGAATAAACATACTAAAAATGAGGAATATATGAAAGATCCCAGGTGGGTTTAGCTCTGCTGTTACCAGCATTAAAGTATTACTATAAAGAAGGTAGAAACAACACAGTAGGAAAAGCCTCTGGTGATTTGAAACACAGTTCAGTTGTCTCTCATAAATTTCAGATTAAGTGTCATATATGGGTGATAAAAGTGGCATAGGCTAGGTTTTATATACTCATTATTCACTTAGTTTGTCTTTTTCAATTAAAGCCAAGTCTATCTTTTTCATTCCACTGAGTTTACATTTCTTTTTCAATCACATTCTGAACACATTACAATAGATGCTGCCTAACAGTGAATATAGTGTAAATCTCAGACTAATGTGTTATTCACTGTGGTTTTTTTGAAAATGTGTGGTAAAAAGATTTTGATTATTGTAAGCTGCTATTTATCAAGAGTCATCTTTTAGAGGTTGAAAGATGTTCAGCCCTATCTTTCAACAGCTCAGCTTTCTATCAAAATAAATCATTTAGCCTCCAAAGCCAATTTTGAAAATTTTGTCGGATGATTAGATTGTAAGACCCATGTGTGTTTTACCCATTGTACTGTAAGAATTCCTGGGCCTGTTCAGCATGTCTCTTTTTGAATGTTTGAGAAGTGCACACTTCACCCGTAACCTATACAAAGTGCTAGGTAATCAAGGGAAAGACATTGATTAGAACAATCAATAACTTTTCAATTAGCCATTTTCCATCTTTGGGCTTTTGGGTCCATTGATCTGCATGTGCCCAGTTTAATTGATTTTTATGTTTTCATCAGTAACTATTTGGTTTATAACATACCTTGCTTTAACAGAGAAGAAGAGAATGTTTTCCTCCTCCCCCCAAAGCAGCTTAAGTTGTACTAGGATCCTTCTCATATTAAATTTGGTGACAGCACATCTCAGTGAATACAAAGAGAAATCTGGCCCAGTTCATAAAAAGAGAGAAGTGGAATTAAGTGGTAAAGCCATTTGGAGTGCTGATTGGTTTTGCATTTATTTTACTGATCTGAGGCTGAACAAATGGTAGATTTAGCCCAATTCTTGCCCTCTTTCCTATACAAGGCCATCACAGAAGGCGTGTTGTATATGTGTGTGCAGGGAGGTAATGGGTTGTTGGGGGTTAAGCAGGAAGACAACAGGGTGTTACCTTTGTGACTTGTTTACAGCCTTCAGCCTGCCAAGTACCATTCCAGGTTGTTTAGTGGTGGGGGATGGTGAGGACAAGTGGTCAAACCTCGGCTCTTTTCAAGTTTGGGAACCTGTGCTATATACTCCACTTTAAGAAGTGAAGAGTTTATCATTTATAGGAGTTTTAGAACTCTTCTGAACTTGTGTGGTTCTGCATCTGTGCTATACACCTGCCCCCAAAACCAGACTCTAGAGGAAGAATGGGTGGCAGTTTTTTTAGAGGGTATGTACACACACACACAAAAGAAGGAAAAACCGAGTACCAACCATTCAGTAACTGGATGTGTTAAGTGTTTGCATCTTCTTAGGGGTCCTGATGGCTATTGAGAGGTTCCTATTAATAACTTAAAACTGCTTAAGGATTACTGAGCCAGAACATGTCATCTTTTATTTTTTTCCCCCAGATCTTAACATTTATCTATAGCAGTTGTAAATCTGATTTTTTCAGCAGGTTTCTCCCCCAGATCCTTACAGCTGTATCATCAGATAAGGTTTACACTTGACAGTGTTAAGGTGTTAACAGGAGCAAAAATCATCACGCTCAGTTCACCGTTCCAACTCTATCCTGATGATGACTTGAGGGACAGAGTGATGGAGTTAAGTGTAAGCTGCAGACCGGCAGCAGGGAATGGGAGTGGTAGACCTGGCGCACTGGGACGTCCCCTTTCCAGCGCCTTCACTGGTAGGACCTGGTGGGCCTCTTTGCCTCTCTCCAGTGGCGGCTGTGCACCCGAGTGTATGAGTGGAGTCCCTCCTTCCTAGGAAAAGGAATTTTAAAAACTAGGCCAAGAGGCAAAGCGAAGCTGACCTTTTCTTGAAATCAAACTGTGGTGTTTCCCTGAATTACAGGCAGTCAGGAATCACTGAAATCTACATACTAACTGGGGGCCCTGACCCCCTAGACCAGAGGAAGGTAGAAGAGGGCTAACGTGCTTGTTAGTTTACCACGCTTGCTAGTTTACCGTTTGCAGGGCTGTTTAGAGCACAATAAAAAGCTTCAAATCTCTTTCCCAGCCAGCCAGAGAAGCGCTTGATTCATCCAAGACTTTTATTGCTTGCTTTTGAAATATTACCCTGACTCTGAGCTACAAAGCCGCAGATCCAGCCCCATTTGTCTAGCGAGGGCGCTGCCCCAAACCCGGCTTTCCCCGCTCTCTGATCGTCTGACGGGAACCCTGGGGTTTAAGACTCCCGAGTGGAGAGTCGGCGTTTCTTGGAGGGCAGATCTGGAACACCTCCCAGGAAAGCCCTGGTAACTTCTGTCCGGCGCTTCTCTGTCCTTGCGGTTGGAGCAGGATCCCTGCGTTGCGAAGGCACCGGGCGAAGATCGCCAGCATATCCAGGCACTCCTGTGCGGTGTGAGAGGCCGGGTTCCTTTGATTCGGGGGAAAAACGGGCAAAAGGAAGATTTTAAGAAATAACTTAGATTTTAAAAGCTTACAAACCAAGTCCGTGGACAACCAGCAAACTAAGATTATGGCAGAGACTGCTTTCAATTTAACGTTGTTTGGGTGGGAACTCCCTCCCCCCAAATCAGCAAAGCAGTTCCTGTTCTCTCCGTGTCTCCTTCGAGAAATAGTTATCAAAAGAGTCAAAGTTTATTAAGTAAGTTCAGTTGTCTTAAACCTTTTTCTGGAAAAAGCTTAGGAATAAGTACATTTAATAAAAAGCTACTTTAAAAATGTAGACCTCTTCCCTTACCCAATCTCTGAATTTCTTCTCCTCTTGAAGGATACCAGTTCTTCCCAACAGTCCCACACTCTTCACACAAATATTTTCACATCAAGGGGTGGCATGAATCAGTATCTTAAAAACATTTTGGGGGGTATTAGGGAATATTATACAGAGTATTGCAGTCTTTTTTGTTTTCTGAATTTTTATAGGACCGAAATGACCTTTTAAAAAGAAAACAACTTAGAGGGTGATTTGTTGTTAATGCTTTCAGAGATAGAAAATTGATCCTGTTTATTTAAATCTGGATTGCATAATGAAAATGTAAAACAGGCAATTAAATACTCAAGGAAGAAGGAACTAAAGACAGTGAGTGAAAATAACATTCAGCAGACTCTTCACCAGTCATTGTGCCAGGGATTCTCCCAAGCATTGAGACGGATTGGAAGAAAGAATTAGCAGTAGAAAATGTTACTTCTTCCCTTATTACACTGTCTTAGAAGAGTTACTGTAAGGGGAGCCAGTGGTCTTTTCCATTATAGATAATGGCTGAATATCCAAAGATTGCTTGCTCCTGTGGATACAAAATTTAAAGAGCATAGAGGAGCATGCTTCTTCATAAATTTCATTGTTTTAAACTCACTTTAGAAGCCTGTGTCTAATTTGCACTGGTTCTGGATTACGTCTCTATGTAACCCTCTTCCAAACACAGCAACTCAAGGAAAAGAGCCTATGACATTTTGCTTTCATTTCGTTTTGATTATTTTTGCCACATTAGTTGCTGATGGACTTCAAACCATAAGCTATTCAAAAAAATTATTCCAAGATTAAATTTTAATTCTTTCACTTGTCATATTGACGTAATGAAAAATTAGCTTTTTATTTTTATTATGAACGTATAACAGTTTAATCCACCTTCCTCATTGGCTCAAGATACTTTTGTAATTGAGAATTTAAAATCAATTATGAACATTCTATCCCATATTTTAGGGTTTAAATTATTAATGGCAAGTCCAGTTGAGAGTCATTATATGACTTTGATATCATTTTTGTATCAAGGTGAGTTAGGAGACAACATAGTTATGTAAAAAAGTTATGTAAAGCATACATACATCTCTTTCAATATGAAATATGGATAATTTATAACCATGCCTACTTAAAATTTTTTTAATGATATCCTCTGTATTTCAAAATGTGCTTTAATTTCTGAAAATAAAATTAAGTTGCACAATATTTCATGAACAATAAGAATGGAATTATAAAAATCAAACCTGCAAGGACTTGAAATTGTACATGAAGGAGCCTGACAACAGGATAATTTAGACGTTTACCAAACTTTTTTAAAAAAGAAGGTATAAGGGAATGTTTTATGAAGCCATAGGAATCTTGTTTCTTGGTACATTTTTACATAGTGAAAATCTATTTTGCTACATCTTTATTTCAGAAATATTATGGATGGTTCTATATAACAAGGCAGGAAGCAAGAGCTCTCAAAACTACACAACAGGTTATCTTTGTTGGGGTGGCCAGCATGGGTGGGGCAGGTGGGAACTGTGAGGGCTTGGTTTGGAGATCTTGGCTAGAAGAATGAATTTTTTTTTTCCTTTAAAGTTTTAAACATTGTATATACCTATTGCAGATATCTAAAAATGGACTACACTAGGGAAAAAATACCCTTGCCAAAGACATTAGCTTATATTGATATAATATTGTAAATGAGCTGTTTATTCAGGAACTTATAAAATGCCATAAAATGATAGTAACATATGCATAAAAGCTTGGTGTCTGCTTTTATAGAAGATAATTTGTTTTGTTCTGTAGGGCACCATAGTTTATAAAAACTCATGTGCTGCTTTCTGGTTCCATGATGCCAGATATCCAAATAGCCTTTGTTATGCTAAACATAGGTAGAGCATACAAATTTTATTAGATAAGTGATGAACAGGTTTGTCCAACTTTGTATTTGAAACATACTTTTACTGTTATGCTTTGGATTGATAAATAATTATAACAAATTATACAGATATTAACACTTATGTGTAGAAACAATCATTATCCGATTTGTCTACACACACACAGAGGCACAAAATGATTCTTTTTGTAATTTGTATCCTGTTTCTTATATTTCATGGTTTAGATGTTGAAACATTTGTAGCGGACATACTGAGAGGGGAAAATTTATCCAAGAAAGCAAAGGAAAAGAGAGAATTCCTTATTAAGAAGATAAAAGATGTAAAGTCTATGTAAGTCACTCTCCTTTTGTTACTGATTTCTTACTTAGAAGCAATTGTGTAATATTTTAATAAGGAATTGATTAACATGGAGGTAAATTTTTTATTCTAACTTAATCATTGTTAAGTACTTTAAAGGACAAAGGTATATATTTACTATAATAGTTTTAAAATACAGAAATGTTTGTCATAATATGCTTTTTATGAGGGTTCTTAATTATGTATTTAGCTAAGCATTCTGGCAAAATCTGTTTACTTTGATTAACCAGGGTTATATTTGGCTTAAATGATAAGACTTAGGTAGCTGGAGGATTTTAATATAAATATGGAACATACCTTAGACACTGAAAAAGAGAATTCTTTTAATTGTTTCTATTTTAAATGAATAAATGTAATACATATTGTAGGTATTAAAGATATTTCCTCATTTTGCTACTGTATTTAGATCTTTAAAAATAATTTTGTTATACATTTCTAAGCATTTGGAATTGTCATTGCAGGACAGGAAATGGTTTTTACTCTAGGTATATATTTATAATATAGATTTTGGATTTGAAGTATTACCACTTGATTAGACCTTGTTTTGATATTTCAACCTCATTTAAAAATACAATGTTCTTTATTTTACAGTTACCTTCAGGAATTTCAAGGCAAAGGTAAATATTTATGTTTGTCACACTTGAAATTTCTTTTTCTCTGTGAAGATTTTCAGGGGACTACTCCACACATATTGAAATTTAATAGTTGGAATCAAAATTTAAATTTCCGTATTGTATACTTAGACCCTCAAGATGAGAGTTCTAGCTCCCCCTGCTGAGAAAAAAAATTAAAAAGCATATCCACAATCTGCTCTGCACAGTCTTTGGGTGCAGAAGTCTTATTATAAGTATTTAGCATTTTCAGGTTTTGTGTAGAGTACATCATGGCAGACGTTTGTTAGGGAAGGTGTACCTTCAGTTACACATGGAGTAATTCAGTGAAGCAGATCTGAGATATTAACCCAACAGCATTTAACACTGTAGAGATTATTTTATAGTAGTGATGGGAACAGGAGGGCCTAGGGCTAAATATTTACAGGTAATGTTTTTTAAAACAGTATACATTGTTGTTTGAGAACATGAATAAAATCATTTTCAAATGTTGGTGTTTGTTTTCCTTGTGGTTCTTTTGAAATAAGATGTACCACAGAAATTTATTAAGAGGGGAATTCAGTTTCATGTTTTGGAAGTATGTGAGAGTGCTGGTAACACAATTGTCTTCCCTTAGACTTGAGCGATAGCTGCTTAGTACACTGAAAACCAGATCAAGAAAGGTGTAGGAAGATCCTACTCCTTCATGTCTTCATGTAAGGGAAGCTGGGTATGGCCCTCACTTCCCTGATGCTGATTCATAAGTCATGACCTACAGCTTGCAGATGCTGTGTGAGAGGTCACAGTATGATGTCAGTTAACCTACATGGAGCTAGAGTCTGAGTTTGAGGAAGACACAGGGTGACATCTTCTAACTAAGGTTAGCAGATCCCACAGAGTAACTTGTAATTGTACCAATAGATAAGTCAGAAGGTAATGACAGTTAGTTTCAATAAACTGATTATTTAACCAGACAAACCTAAAATCAGTTGAGAGGAGTCTTGGTTTCTTTTCACATTTAATAGTTAAGATTGGTGTAATTGAAGGTGATGAAGAGAGATTTTTTTTTTCCATATTAAGATTTTTAACACTTAAAGAGCAGGAAACTCGTCTTCCCCACAAGTACCCACTTTTTGGTACTCTACAATAAATCCTTAGGTTTAATCATGTTTCATTTGCTTGCTTGAATATAGAAATGAATTTATTTATTTTAATTATCACATTTATTATGTATACACTATTTTTGGAATACTTGATAATCAGATTCTTTTTTTTTTTGAAACAGAGTCTCAAGCTTTCACCTTCAGTAGAGTGTCGTGGCATCATAGCCCACAGCAATGTCCAACTCTTGGGCTCAAGTGATCCTCTTGCTTCAGTTTTTTTTTTTTTTTTCCTTTCTATTTTTTTAAGTAGAGACAGGGTCTTACTCTTGCTCAGGCTGGTCTCTAACTCTTGAGCTCAAGCAGTCCACCACCTCGGCCTCCCATAGTGCTAGGATTACAGGTGTGAGCCACCATGCCTGGCTCTGTCCTTCTCTTCTTAAAAGTCATATTTTGTTCCAGTGATTACTTACAGAATGTGCATTGTGACTTACTTATTGTACATTTAAAAATTTTAGGCTAAAAGAGCACAGTACGGTGGCTCACTCCTCTAATCCTAGTACTCTAGGAGGCTGAGGCTGGTGGATTGCCTGAGCTCACGAGTTGGAGACCAACCTGAGCTAGAGCAAGACCTCGTCTTTAAAAATAGCTGTCTGTGTGTTGTGGCAGGTTCCTGTAGTCCCAGCTACTCGGAAGGCTGAGGCAAGAGAATCACTTGAGCCCAAGAGTTTGAGGTTGCTGTGAGCTATGGATATCACAGCACTCTACTGGGGGTGAAAAAGTGAGACTGTCTAAAAATATTGTTTTTTAAGCTGAAAAATACATAATAATATAAAATTCATTGTATAATTGAGTATGGTTACTAATAGTGTAGGAACTTTCCCTTTGGTATTCTGTTTTAGAACTTGTTCAGGTGTGTGGATATTAAAATTACATTACTGTGGTAATATATTCTTTGTCTCCAAAGAGAATGGAAGTTTGTGTGGTATTTTATAGAAATTAAAAAATGAGCCTAAAATAAGAGTTCAAATAATGTGGAATTCAGAGATCCCCCATAATCATTTTCTCTCTGAATAAGTCATTTGTAGCTCAATCTGGCTGTATGGAGTTAACTAATCACCCAGAGTGCCTGTTTATTCAGAAATAAACCTGTAGATAATTTAAGTGCATTACCTTAGAGAAATATGGGAAGCTGAGTAATTTTATGTGATTGTACCCTCAAAGTATATTCAGCTTTGTTCTAAAAAGACTATTCCTATAGTTTATTAGGCATAGTAAAAGGTACCTTCTTACTAGTTTCAAGGTAATTATTTAAAATATGGTACATCTCTTTTAAAAATAGGAACTTATGGGTGGTGCCTGTGGCTCAGTGAGTAGGGTGCCAGCCCCATATACCACCAAGGTGGCAGGTTCGAACCCGGCCCTGGCCAAACTGCAACAAGAAATAGCCAAGCCTTGTGGCAGGTGCCTGTAGTCCCAGCTACTCCTGATGCTGAGGCAAGAGAATCACCTCAGGAGTTGGAGGTTGCTGTGAGCTGTGATGCCCCAGCACTCTACTGAGGGTGATAAAATGAGACTCTGTCTCTAAAAAAAAAAAAAAAATTAAATTAAATAAAAAAAATAGGAACTTATTAGAGATCTCCACATTGAGTGAATTCAGTTCTAAGTATGATGTGATGCTGCTGCTGCCTTGCTCCCCCTTGGACATTTTCCCCTGGAGCTTTTGGATTCTGTTCATCTAAGGAGATCTAGGCAGAATTCCTTTTGTCTATTTTCCTGTTCTCGCTCTCTCTGTCTCTCTCTCTTATCAACCTAGGGTCACAGTGAACTGAACAGAAGCTGTTTCCCTCCTTTTTACCTCTGTATCTCTATTTGATTTACATAGTCTATTTTTTTAATGACAGTTAAGTACCATTTTAATATTATTGTCAGGAGAAAAATGGACCAGGTTGAGAGTTCTTAAATAAAATGAGTTTATTCAGATCCATTCCTTTCTAGTAAGTCAGCTATTAATTTCTCTAATGTACACAGGCGTCTCTCCTCCCTCCTTCCTTTCCATATCCTCCCCCTTTGCACTCTAATCTCTCATCTTGAGATTTAACAATACAGAATTTACAGCATATGGTATTTTAGTTCTTAAAATTAATTGAATTAAAATATTAAGGTGCACAGATCCTAGAAGACTTATTTTGTATTTCCTTTTTTGGGTGGGGGCGAGAAAAGTGTAGAAACTTACTTTATTACAGTGGCTCCCAGACATTGAAGCTTTTCATTAGCTGACTTTCCACTTGTTATTTATATGCATTTCCATAGAAAGCTGTTGCTTTATAGCTTCTCTTCTTGTTTCTTTAAAGATTAAATAGATCTAGATTTTCTACTAGAGTCTAGATTTTCTACTGGGGAGGAATGACGAATTACAACTTCAGAGTAAATTATTGGTTGATTTTCTAAATTCCTTGGAAGATTTGAATCTAATCAACTACATCTTATTATTCATTTAAAATATTGCCTGTTTCGTCTACAATAGAAGAGTTCTTTCTTATATCTTTCAAAATATTACACATGACAGCATGACTTTAACCCTAATTTTTTACTTACAGTATAGCATAGTACCATAAAGTATCCTCCTGAACACAGGCTCCCTGCACTGGAATTATGCTATGTTATTATTTTATAATTATTCTCTGACACATAGCAAGGTCATAAACCTCTTAAATATGATTTAAAATAATTTTTTACAATAACAGTATATTGTTATTTGAATAAAGACTTACTGAATATTAACTAGAATTTTCTGTATAGTTTATATAAATATATATATATATTTGTATAAAGTACATGATAAAAAAATTTTACTTACAGTTGTATTTTTACCCTGTATTAGTCTTCTTTTATTCCAGTGATGGTTTGGATGTGATTGATTTCTTTATAGAATGATTTATTGAAATAAGACAATGTGAAAATACTCGAGCATGACACACAGTAGGTGTTCAGTAACTGTTAATGCATATTCTCAGACACAGCTTCATTCATCTAGAAGATTTAAGTTAATCTCAGCTTACAGTTTTGAAATAATTTGGGGGGATATTATAAATTATTTAAAAAGGGCATATATGTTGGCATGAGACAAATATTTCAAGAGAATATTTTGCTTCATGTACTACAGTAAAAAAGTTCTCACTTTATTCCATAAAATCTTTTTTCTTTGCTTGTAAAAAGTTTTTAGATTTTTGTCTTTGAGACACCGTTAAATATGCATAGATTTCCTTAGAAAGCAATTTCCTTTGACCTTCTTGCTGTTATTTCATAATTTGTTAATGGGATAAATTACTTTTTTTAAATAGCTGTAATATTAGGTAAGAAGTGATCCATTTTTGTTTGTGATAATGGAATCCTTAAGAATAGCAGAAAACTTCAAAGTTTAGATGATGTTTAATTTCCTTTTCTTTAACCTTTGTAATAGTGCATTTTCTGCTAAAAGTTAGACTGCAGTGAAATCTGAGCAAATAACTCACAACTTTTTTTTTTTCCCACCACCCATTCCTACTCCTGGCTTTGTACAAATACATTAGCACATCTGAGACGCTGGAACCTGTAGTATTAGTATATATTTCAGAGGCAGTGTTTGAAGAATGTATCCTTATTTTATTTTTAATATTTGCCATTATTCTATTATTTTTAAGTTAATATACAAATATCCATTGTATACTACTAACAATTAGAGGCTTAAAGATATGACAACACAAAATATGAAATACATAGAGATAATTCTTCAGAAATATATAGTATTTCTGCATGGAAAACTTTTAGTTGTGATTGAAAATATAAAAAGACACATGTCTGGTATCCTGATTTTAAAGCTCTGCCTCAGTTTGGTGCAAGAATTTGTCTTTACTATTTGCATGCTGTAAATTAGTCCTCTTATTGTGGAAGAATTGTGAGGAGAATCTTTTTACTTTTGGTGATTCAAAAATCTAAGGAATTAAACTTCCCTTAGGAAAGGACAATAGTACAACTTTTGGAATAGGCTTAAAAAAATGACAAGTTAAAGGCTTAGTTCTGTTTGGACAAGTGAACCAAGTAGAGACTTAGAAATTAATTTGTTTTCACTAGAGTAATTTTTCCCCTCTAAGTTTGCACTGTAAGAGGAAATAGCATCTAAATTTTAGGTATAGGTTGAGTAGTATTCTTATTCAAAATGCTTGAGAGCAGAGTTGTTTTGGATTTTGGAATATTTGCATATACCTAGTGAGATATCTTGGGGATAGGACCCAAGTCTAAACGTGAAATTCATTTGTTTCACATACACCTTATACACGTAGTCTGAAGATAATGTTTTACAATATTTTTAATAGTTTGTATGCATTGAGCCATCAGAAAGCAAAGGTGTCAGGTGTGGAGTTTTCTACTGTGGCATCATGTCAGTACTCAAAAGGTTTTGGAGCATTTTAGATTTTGGAGTTTTTGGATTAGGGATGTTCACCCTGGATATTATAATGTTTAATTTTTATCTGACTTTTGTTTAAAATAGCACCGCTTTGCCAAAACAAGCAGTAAATTGGGTAAACCACCTTCAGTGGTGGTAGAGATCAGGACTTTTCTATTGCTATTGGGCTGTGTCTCTAGTCAATTAGGAAAATGTTAATTGATAATGAGCCATTTAAAAAAGAATGGGTAATAGTGACTTGAACCTGACTATCGTGAATTTAAAAATGATTTTTAGAGAAATAGGCTGGTGTGGTGTGATTAAACCTTGATTTTGCTGTGATATTTAAGTTGCTATTGCTACTGAAATGATAGCAAGGGAGGTCTTGGATCATTGTCTTTTAGACTGTTAACTTTGTATTGTTAATTAAACTTCTGAAAGTTGTGGGATAAATCAAATGCTTTTCTAGGGAAACAAGAAACTGTATTAATGAGCAACAACCCCATAATTATCCTTGTGAGTACATAACAGGGACACATTCATGTCTTTTCTTTGCGCAATAACTTTTACAAAGAAGTATTTTTAAACTGATCATTAATTTTATGACCACAGAAATGAGATGCAAAATTTATGCTGTTGTCATTGGCACAGGCTCAAGGCTCCACTGACATTATGTGTGATTGTAATAGAATGGCTGCCAACTAATGATTCTGTAGACATTTCATTTGAGCATGGTTTCCTTTTAGATGTCTGATTAGGCTGTAATGCTTTCAATTATGTCTGTAAATTGTATTGGGTACGTTTACCTGATGCCCATTGTTGATTGGGAGTTCAGCTTTCTATAACATAAACACAAGCTGAACATTTTCCTTTTAATTTATAGAAGACTTTGCAGGTATAGCTGCAAATACTGAGTCCCTAGGGAGGAAAAAATGCTTTGTACTACTCAACAGCGACCCCTGTGTTCAGGCAGAGCTCTTCATAAGGCTGCAGCTTTTATTCTTTATTGGGTTGAAAAAAAATTGGGAGGTGGTGGTGGTAGGAAAAGGAATGGATCATTATTGGAACAACAATGAGAAGAAAAGGACCAGGTTGAAAATGTTTTTTCCTTTCAACTTAATGCAGGTTAAAAAGGGAATAGTCTTGTACAGATACCATATAGATGTTTTACTTTCTGAGTTAATTCAAAGGATTTAGGGGGGGAAAATAAGGAAGAAATGAGGCCAATAGCAGTACTTAATCTATTTTATCTTAGATAAATCTAAATATCACAGTGATGTTTAAAAATACTTGCAATGAACTGAAGTTCTTAGAGTAGGTAAGTTAAAGACAATTTCACTTCAATACAAAATCTGAAAAAGTATTTTTTAAAAAGTGACAGAGGTCTTTAATATGTTAGTAGCCAATTTGTGTAGAGTAATATTCTCAATTCATGTTATGTATTATTGAGTTCCTTGCTTTAATAATGATCATTTTGCTCTATTTATATGTGTAATATATATATATGTAAACATACATTTATTGAAAATAGATTTGTATGTGCTTCTCTGTGTATATGTGTATATATACACATAAAACTGTGTAATGGATATTATTAAAGTATAATAAACTATTTCTGATTTTTGGGACCTTTAAGTTTTGATATTTTCTGTTTGTTTCCACATAGAGTTTAATAGATTTAAGCCTGAGTATCCAAATTTTTTCAGAATCCTTTCTATATATTCTTTGGTTTTACTGTTTTTTGTTTTTTTTTTAGGCCATAACAACAATATTCTAAGTGCTAAGTTCTAGTGATGTTTTTTGAAGTATTCTATATCCTAATATGTATTTTTATAGTAAGATTTATATTTTAGTGTCTGATATAAAATTTCCTTAGAAAATTCATACCATCAGAATCCTTACTCCATTAAGAATATAAGGATACTCTAGCAACTAAGAATTACTGAGAATTTCTTGATCTCTAATACTACACATTCCATGAACTGTCATAACATGCTGACAATACTTTTACTAGCACCTTATGAGGTTCTTTCTTACCTTATATTTGAAATCAGAGAACTCTTAATGAGAGAAATATACTTAGTGATCACTGAATGTTCTGAGAAGTACTCTGAAATTGCAAAAGATAAATTAAGATCTAAAGAATGAGTAGTATTTACACGTTCTTTAGAACTTTAATTGGGGAAGAAACATCACCACATTGAGTACACCTTAGTGGTGGAATCACTAAGGACAATATAGCCATGTTCGTGTTCTGCCCTTTATCGCTTTAATGAGAGATGTTCCTATCTTTATTTTTTTTTTAGGATAAGGACGATGGCTTGAGAAATAGCAAAATTATAAAGAAACAGATGAACATTTAATTTTAAAAATTATTTTGACCGTGCTGTCTTGAAAGAGGCTATTTTCTCTACTAAAAATGTGACAAATGGCGGGGGGGTGTGTGTGACACCCACCAAATGGATGTCAGAAGATATAGATATCCCTTTGGAGACAGCAGTAGCTTTAATATGGATCTGCCCAAGAACTGTAGTTCAAGAGTTTACCATGGGTACTGTAGGTTTCCTGTTCAGGTTTTCACCATGTTTTTCGAATAATCCCTGAAGTGGTTGTTTTTCTTTTGAACTGTTAACAGGTAACTTGAATTTTTTTTTTTTTTTTTTTTTGAGGCAGAGTCTCAAGCTGTCACTGTGGGTAACAGTAAAATATTTGGTATAGTATTAGGCATACATTTTTCTTTGTTCTTGAATCTGGGTGAAGAATGAGTGCTTATATGTAATTGGGCCAACAAATATTAGTATTCAGTATTTCTAGATTCAATATTTTTTTAAAAATTATTTTAACTGAGTCATGGAAAAAATCTGTATATTCACTTAACTACAAAGTCTTCTCTCTCTCTCTTTTTTTTTTTTTTGGCTGGAGCTGGGTTTGAACCTGCCACCTCCAGCATATGGGGCCAGCGCCCTACTCCTTTGAGCCATGGGCGCTGCTCCTACAAAGTCTTCTTAAACAATAAAATACCCAACCGACCAATTTAAGATTTGAAAACCAAGTAGGAAAACTGGACAAGACATTAAAAAAAAATGGTAACATACCACTGAATAAAATTAAAGGGGTCTAGTTTGTAAATTACCTTGTTTAAATTTGAAAGGATTGTATAAATTGTACAGCAGTTTTCCCCACAAAAGATTCCTACTCTGGAAAATGCAACTGAGTATTTTTAATTTACTCTAATGTAATCCTGTGATTTTTAATGAAAACACAAGATGCTTCAAATTAATTTATTATAATTTTTCCAAGTATAGAGTAGGTAAATGGAATTATTGAGTTATTTTCTCTGCTTTGTTTTCTGTTTTGCATTATTGCTGTTTTGGTGTTTTGTTTGTTTTAGATTCATCCTGTTTAACCCTGCTCTACTTTTTGAATAATTTTTGTTGCATCCACCTTAATTTGGGGACTGTATCCTTTTGGGTCTCAAATGTGCGATTGTACTGCCCTTCAAAAACTCTTCACTCTTTATCTAAGTTACAATGTATATAAACTGAAATAGAGCCTGTTTATCCTTAGTTCAGAAAGTTTGCTTTGCTTTTCCTTAACCGTGACTAAATTTAATAGTAAACTCTAGCTCTTCTAAAAAATTAACACTGTTTCAAGTGGCTAAATTATAAAAGGCATTTCTCTGATTTGTTTACAGGTGATGTGGAAGATGGGGAGGAATACGACGATCCTTTTGGTGGAGCTGCAGACACTATTTCATTAGCCTCAGAACGCTATGATAAAGATGATGAAGCTCCCTCTGATGGTATGTGACATTTTCTTATGGAACAGTGATTTTCAACCAGTGTGACTGAGGCACTCTGGTGTGCCGTGAAAATTGTAAAGATCATTAATTAAATTATTTTCCGAAGAAATGCAAAGCACAGTATGTTCTTTTTTTTTTTAACCCTTGTTTTGATCAGCATAATTCAAGTGTGCTGCAAAAGGTTAACTATAGGTTCGAGTGTGCCGTGAGATGCAAAAGAACACACCTTTTGGCACTTTCACACAAAACGATGCCATGTGTAGAGGTGGTGGTCTTATCTGGAAGCAGAATCACATAGAAGCTCAGTTAACTTACCTTTACCAAAACCTTTTAAGGAACAGAAGAGCTCTCTCTAGTGGTTCCAGTGAGGTTTTCCTAAATATGTAATTGCTTCTTTTTCTAGGAAATTTTCTTTACTATAATTTTAGGAGAGTGCTCGCATCATTATATGAATGGTATTAGTAACAGTTTGTTGGTTAGTTTAATATTATCAGATTCTTGTTTAATTTTATTGTGCTACTTAATGGCTTGTTGTATTATTTATTTTATAAATAATGAAAAAGGGTTTTGATCTATTTTTTTCTGAAAACTTTATACAAAACGAGTTCATAAAATATTAAATCAATTATTCCTACACTGCTTTCTCACATTGAGACAGGTTTTTATCAAATGCTTCTTTTAATACACGTTTTCATTTTTTTGATTGTCACTTAAAAATGCCCCTCATTATGCAGTAATATTATAGTGTTTTGTATTAACTGAATTAGTAATAAAGTTAGTTGATTGTTTATATCTTCGTAATTTCTAAAAGCTCTTGAATGTTGCCAAAGTTATGAAACTTGTCTTTCACGTAGCATGTGTTTTTTTCTGTTATAGCTGTTGAGTGCATCTGTATTATAGAACCCTTATAAAGTTGATGTATAGTTGTAAATTAAGAGTGTGTATCGATAAATTAGCCATGCATATTAATTTGTGGCACTCAAAGTTTCACATAGACATAGAAATGAATAATGCCTTCTGCCACTATATGATGATCAAACTGTGCAGTTCCATCTCTAAATACAATTGCTGAATGAAAATATGCTTCCTGCAACAGAGCACTCCACATTTTATGTTATCTAGATTATTCCCTTTGGAAACATAAATTGCTTTTATGAGGTATAAAATTATGTCTATTGCAGAACAGGGATAAGTCAAGTACATGCATAAGTGATAAACATTCTAACCACTGTTTCAGAACAAAACAATCTTTTTTTAATATCCAGAACTTTGTATAAAGTGTAGCAATAATAATCGTATCTGTTTCATGTTGAATTTTACACTTTGGCAAACATTTAATTTCTATTTTTAAATTTTCTATTTTTTTTTCCTTTTGTATTCTCTGTCTTTTAAAAAGATGCACATTTCTCTTCACTCACACTTACTGTCCAAAACAGAGGAGGATTATTACCCTTTCTAACCTCATCTTCAAGAGCATGTCTACTAGAAAATGTTTATAATTTCTGAAGTAATATTTTCAGACAAAACGGTGGAATTATTATTTAAGTTGTACTTTTTAGAGGGCAGGATATTTTTACTTAGGAGAATATACATAAGCAATATTTTTATAGAATATATATGCTCAGAGTTTCTCAAAATAATGTAAATATTTTGATGTATAAGGTAGTGTTAAATGCATTCTTAAAAAATTATAATCTAAAAAAAGTCCAATAATTATTCTGAGAGCTAGAAATTTGTTAGAAAAAGTGAATTATTATTAAATTATAGTGCACTTACATTATTATTGTGTTTTCCTTTTTAAGAGAAAATAGCTTACATGTTTTCACAATCAAATATAAAGGAAATTAATATTATGAAAAACATTTGTTGCTAAAATGTAATTTTATTGATATTTGAAATTGTTCTATAACATCCACTTTTGTTAAATATCAATGCATATTCATTAACATTTAAGCAATTCATGAGCAGATCAAAAATTTAACCTTTAGTATTCATTTTTGTTATATAAATAGTATTATTTTTGATAGTTAACATTTTCTTTTAAGAACATTATTATAATTTGCAAACTACCACTTGGATTTTTAATTTTCATTCTAAAATATCAACTCATTTCAGTTTTTTTCTCTGTAACTTGGATTTTTTTTGTGTGTTTTCTTTCCTTTGCAGAATAAATTTTCCTTCATTATGTGTCCTAAGTCTCATGATATATTAATTACAAAAAAGATAATGCATTTAACAATAACTATAACCAAGTTAGCACAGGTCACCAAAAGGCCTTTTGTCCATCGGATTGTTGTTTTGTCCTTTTGACTTTTACCTTATGGTAGGCACTAACAAAGTATCTGAACTTTGATGGATTCTAAACTCTGAACATGATATGTATTTTTCATAATGCTAATGTAATTTTCAAGGTGCTGAAAAGGTCAGACCTGCACATCTCTATGTGTATTCTAAGTCTGTCTTTCGCTTTAATATTTCTTTTTCTCTGTTCCTCTGGTTCAAAAGTTCACTCAGTTCCCAAATGGCCACCTAATTTTCCAGTTATTCCCTCAAGCCATATGTGTTTTGGTTTCTTTATGGTTTATTAGGTACTGTAGGAAAGTAGCATAAGTTATATCTTCTAATGAAATTCAAGCACACTTCAGTGATGCTTCGACTTGATTGCTGGTAGCAATTAAATCACAGCCAAGGAGAATAATGCATAATCTCACATGGTCCAGACACCCTATAGAAATTGAATAGGGATGAAAACAGAAAACAAAACAAAGTCTCCAAACCCTGCCAGACGTGCTGTTTGCAGCTTGCCTTTTTTTTCTTTATTGGCCAACTGCCTGATTGATAGCAAAATCATAACTTGCTGCATGCTAACAGGCAGAGTTCACTTGTAGGTTATTGTGAGCTGATAAAGGGTTAGATGGAGTTTTGATTTTTCGCATTGGACCTTGGTACACCAGATTAATGGAATTTCAATGAGAGACTAGCCACAGCTTTGTCAGAGAAACAGATGGAGATTCTATAGTCATGTCTACTCATTAATACTAGTTGCCTGAAAGGTGTGTTGCTCCTCTATACAAAAGAGTTGATATAATTGATTTTTGAGTGGTACATTGAAAGAAAGTACCTTACTGACGACTAGAATTGTAACAAATGGTGACAGATTTTTGTGTAGCTTGTAGCATAAAAATATTGTACTTTGTAATTTTTTTCTTTTCTCTTTGAAAACACTTTATTTTTTTGAAAAGAAAAACATTTTAAGACCAATAGCAAAAAAGGAGAAAATGACATGCTATTGCCTGTTAGGAAGAAAGAAAAAGAGTCTGTATCTTATTTATAAATGATTGTATGACTGCTGTTAGAGATTCATTTTGATATGATAATATTTAGAAGAAAGTCTGCTTATTAGAAGTTTCATTTTATTAGCTTTATTTTTCTGAAAAACTAGAAAAAACGAATCACAGTGGTTTCTAGACTATTGTAGATCACTTTTAGAAGTTTTATGCTATCCTGTGGCTGGATATACTAGAGTATTAATATAAATGGTACACGTCAGTAATTAGATAAAATTAGAGATTATAAGACTTAAAACCTTTAAAAAAGAGTACACATGTTAGAGAATGTTTGGCACTAAGGTGATAGAGGTAGGGAAGCTTTTAGACACTGTGTAATGGCTTGGGCTTCCATTTTTCCATTCTGAAATAATTTTCCATTCATTTTTGTCATTTGCAAAAGAAAGCTTCTAAGCATGTAGCGTCGTGGAGAGTCCCTAAGGTAAGGTGAAAGGATTCAGTGAGCTAGAAGACATATATTGGCTCTGCCTATCAATGATAGGTCAAAGGATCCCAGTGGATGTTTGTTACAAATCTGATTCAGTACTGGACCATAATCACTTTGTGGATAAGAATCTGGAACATCTGGGGTGTGAATACAGGAAGGCTAAAATGGAGCTGAAGATATAAAACAGTCATTTGTTGTCTTGGTGTCTTCCTAACTAGAAATTTCCAAATAACACAGGTGACTGAAAGATGGTAAGGACATAGGTTCATAGGAAAAAATATTTGTTTAGGAATGGAAGTATTTTTTTTTTTTTTTGAAGCTTAGAGGCTAAGAAAAAAGCTAAGCTATTTTGGTCATAATTTATAATATTAAAATATATATTTTTTCTTTTTTGGAATATCTTTTAAAAAAAATCCAACATATAAAAAATTGAATGTAAGAAAACAAGTAAATCAGTTTTTCCAAAGGATTTCTTTAAAAAGAATTGTCTCTAGGATGCTATAAATAATGATCTCCCACAGTGCATCTTAAAGCAAGCATAGATATAAATCCATCCTTGTGCACACACTTAAATTTAATGCAACAAAGTTTTGAGGAAGATACTTTTATGTAAAATTAGGTATAGCACTAATCCGTTCTTGTAAAAGCCAAGCAACAGATGTTTTACTTTTCTCTGGATATCAGTGGAATATGAAACAATGTCTAAAAGCAGGGAATAAAAGGGGGGGTTTCAATAAGTTAGCCTTAGGGTAAGTATTTTTCTAGCATAGTACCATGTGGATTTGATACTAAATACTTTTGTATGCTGAGAATTTAGATTAGCTTTCAACTTGCCCATATTTTTGCATGTGTAACATATATTAATATTATGCTTGCATTTTTAAAGGGCTTCTTTGGTATATTAATATGCCAAATTGCTACCTTGTGTATGTTTTAGTAGTACAAGAACAAGGATTATTTTAGTCATTCTATTATGTGCATTTCAAGAATTTTGATGGAAGGGAAGGGAATAAAGTTTGGAGAAATGATAAAAAGAGAGGACATGTTTTTAATCCTCAAGATATATATTGTGTGATGGACAATTTCATGTAGACATGAATTTTTTGTGATATAAAGGTATATATGAATAAATGAAAACATAACCATTAAGAATCATCTTTCTAAGTTTTTAGGTTATTAAATGGGAAAATACAGAATAAAGCAGACTGGACAGATAATACTATAGC